AACAATAACAGAGAGGGAGAGAGAAAGAGAGAAAAATGATCCTATCTTAGATATAAATTAACTTAAAAGTGTAGAAGAAAATAAAGATCTAGAAAACAAGTAGTCTTAAGTAGAACTAATAAAGGCAGAGACTATCAGAAGAATAAATTCTCTTCTTTCTTCTTTAAGTGCTATCTCCGATATCTTTGATATCTTTGGGAGAGATCAATAGTGAGGGACATAAAAAAAACACATAAAAACATAGTTGAAAGTATTACCCTCTACGACTTTGAAATTTAAGTTATAACTAATACTAGCAGAAAGTTGTGAGGGGTCAAATTAAAGAAAATTCAAAAAAACATAAAAGAAATTAAGTGGATTTAGGCAAAAGTATCAAAAGATTTTAAAAGAAGACAATTAACTTGACTTGGCCGTGTTCAGATTATTCCAGAGAGCAGATTGCTCAGAAAAAAATTTTGGAACGTTGAAGAAATAAAGTTTATGAGATTTTGACTGCCAGTCACTTGGTAGTGGATGGTGACTTAAATAGAAAATAATAAAAACTGGAAACGGAGAAATGGAGACAACTGTAAAAAAGCCGTTAGCGCAAATATTTATTTAATACAGTTTTATCACAAAAAGGGCTTATAATAAATAGGTTGATGTGGGTTGACTAAAAGACATTCTATATTGGACCAAGACTTTTAAGGGAAACTTTTTTATAATACAGTATCATAACAAAGAAGTCTTTATATTGGTGGTCTTTAACGTCTGATATACATTAATAAGATTATACTAATATCCGACAATTTTTGGTTTTCAATCTTTGGTTTGGAAATCAAAAAGTCAAAACCAAACAAAAAATGTAATTTTTCGTATAACTCATTAGAGATTATTTCTATGTATGAAATATTTAAAGAGAAGTATGCCACAAGACAATAGTTTTAGAGGCGTCTAGTTTAACCATCATAATAAAATAATCTGCTATGCAGATGACAAAATACTACGCTTTTAAAGTAAAGATGATTTACAACTTATGCAGCACAAACTTAATATAACTGCAAAGAAATTTTACATGTTAATTACCCCAAAAAGACAAAATGTATGGTTATTCCAAATTTACTGAGATAAATTAAAGCTGAAAGGTTAGATAATAGAACAAGGAATGGAGTTTAAGTATCTAAGCACCACATTATCTAGCTACGAAAAACTCGAAACTAAAGTGGAAGATCAATAGTGCCGCAGGCTGCCTGAATGAAACAATAAGGAGAAATAAAAATATCGATAAGAAATAAAAGAGATAATTTACAAAACAGTAATCAGACCAATAATGACATACGGCAGAAATAATAGCTTACAAAGAAAGGACAATAAGGATGTTATAAACTTATATGATAAGTGGCTCAAGTAGTGGCATATAAAAAATATTGAGCTATCTCGGAAACTTAAAAATACTTTTTACTAGTTCAAAGTTAACGGATATAGCAAAAATACAATTTATTGATATTCTCAAGAAGAGGAATTAAAATTTTTATCGAATGGTGTGGTAATGCAGTTAAAAAACAGTCGGATTTGCTAATAATCAATAGTTGGTAGTGACAATTTACGAATTTAAGTATCAAATAGCGGGATATCAAATACTCTTTAAAATAAATAAATCACATCCATATTAAAGCAAGTTGTTATAGCGTATGCTGAGGTTGGTAAACTAAATTGGCATAAATTAGGTAAACAAGTAAACAACTATAAAATCAAAAATATATTATTTAATAACAATAAAACCGACAAAACTATTGGCTATATCCAACAAATTCTTTATTCAAGAATAATAAATGCTAGGAAAAAAATTGGTAAAGCAAAAATTGACAATTTCTTGAGTTTGCAAGGTAAAAGATGAGAACAAAAATTCACCAGCAATAGAAAAAATAAAAAAGCGATGTTTTAAAGAAGCAGATGAAGATACATTGACAATAAATTCCGTATTAATAAATCTTAAATAATGAGGTAACTAATTTTTGGATGGAAAATATAAATGGAAAATATCTACAGTGTGGAAGTTTTTACAATATATACCGTTTTGTATTATTTCATAAAATTATTTCTATTGTGCACTTATATCATAATTTATTAAGAAACATATAAATCTGTAGATTCATTATTGGATAGCGTTGTTGTTATTTCAGAATTCCCAATTTGTTGCTCTTAATAAGTTTTGTAGTCTAAAATTATTCGCGATACAAATGTTTGTGGTAAAATTCAAACATGTTAATACCTTTTAACCTTAAATAATTTCTTTACTTTTAATTAAAAGGTACCTAGTCGTCTAAAGCTTAAGTTATTACTAAAATTAAAAAAAAAATTATTGTAAACGTGAAAATGTGATAAACATTATAAAATTATAAAATGGCGTATTTGTTAAAGATCTCATAAACATATCTAAATTAAAACTTACCCTGCCTACATAAACCGCATTTTCGGCAAACGTCGCACAAATTAAAAAAATTATCGCCACAGAAATCATTGTGTATGAGTGAAGCGAAATCAATTTGATGAACTATTTATAATTTTTGGCAGGATAAAATACATCACAATTTAACACTTTATCTCTTTATAACACCCACAAACAAAATATTTCTGGGTTTTTGTTATCAAAGTGGAGATACAGTATGTCATTTTTTGTTTTTTGTTAATCACAGCGAATATTTATCTTATATCCGTTAAAATAATAGTACCCATTCAGAATAAAATATGCATTATAAAAATATCCTCATCATCATTATTCGTCGCTACAGGTTATGGAGCAGCCTCCCTTTAATAATCTTTTATTTTTGCCCCCAATTGATTTTCGCCTCCCTGTATTATATTAATATATAACTGTTTTGGATGGGTTGGAGTCTATAAAAGGGGCTATTTGTTAATTATTTTTTACTTGAGCTTTTAATTGTTTGTACAATTATTATCAAGAGCTGCTGAGAAATACAAAATATCTTACAAAGTTGAACTAGAAATGCTGCTTAAAAACATATTTCAAAAAATATTAATATTAAAATATTCTAATTAAATCTTCTCTTCTTTTTTCTTACTCTTTGTAAGAGTATATATATATATATATATATATATATATATATATATATATATATATATATATATATATATATTATATATATATATATAGGTTATACTAAAGCAGTTTTTAATTAAAGACGATTTTAGCAACATCGCATTTAAAGCTACGAAAGGATATTTCCCTTATCAACTTTGCAGTGGCGTACCAAAATAAAATTTTAATTATTTATATAAATCTATACGTAATTACTCGACTTAGGCTCGACTCGTGAAAGAAGGGATTGGAACCTTTTTTCAAAACGTTGGGCGTCCATGTCTTCATGGTAATCCCCCATTTTTTAGATAAAAAATTAGTGCACTATCTTCTAAAAATCCACTCTCACTACCTATATGGGCTCAATTATTCGTTGCTCTTTACTCGTTGGTACTCATAACCCTCTTGATAAACCATCCATAAATGCTTGACGATAACTCGTTATAGTAGTATCTTGCCAGATCTTAGATACTGTGTGACCAGCATTTACCCACGTTTCGTCCAGATAATAAATTTTTTTGTGGGCAGAATGAACCTCTCTAATAGAACGAAGATATCTTTTGGCAAGAATTTGGAAGACAGATTTACGGGATCTTTTGGCATACATAAATTTTATAAATTTTAAATATTCTTTTATTATTGTCCTTAACGTCTTTTTGCTCATTTTTGGAATCAGACCATTCTCCATTACCTTTGTCCTAATGGATTCGAGGGTTGGCGCTTTATTCTCACAAAAGAAAGAATGAATAGTGGAGCGTACAAAATTTTTCTGGTACTCTTCCAATTTAATTTTTTTTACCAAGATAATGTACTTTGGGAGCTTGCAGAATCCCAGTCACCTTTTTTCACGTACAATGCGTTCTATTGTCGACACGGATACTCCCGTTAAAAATTACCACTGAGCTAAAGCTTCTACTGTACGAAGTGTATTTTTTAAATTTTTATAGACTCTACAGACAATCTGCTTTTCTTCTACCGACATAAACTTCCGTTTTCTTTGTACATTGCTTGGACCCGCTACGTCATCCATCTTAATGCTCTAAAAAGAATAAACATCAATCATAATATTCTGCTATGTATTTGTTGTTTAATTACCACAAAAACTATTTTAAAATTAATAAATAATAATAAAGTCTATTTAAAAAATATATAAACAGAGCACTTCTGGATATAGGTATAAGAATGTGAAACGAATCAAATATATCCTCTCATTACTATTCTTTCCAAGGACGTAAATATGTAGCCAAGCGAAAGGTTGATAAGTTTACCGATGTTTTAAAATATTTAACTGAACTGGTCCAACTATACGTTCGAAAAAAGAAACAGTATGCACAATTTATATTGTTACGTGGGCAAATGTTATGATATTATTTTGTATATTTTACTTATTTATATTGTCGAAGCATACACAATAAAAACGACCCCGGTAAGTTTTTACTCCCAATATTTAGCATTTTTGCCGTTAGCTCTCAGTTAAATTTGTAAATGAGACATCTTTAATTGAAATATGTGTGACTATAGATCACTAATCATGTATTTGACTTAAAAAAAAAACTTTATTTGCTACATAGGGTAACGGGTACAGGTTATTTTAATCAGAAATAATAATGTATATTAAAAATGACAATACGACAATGACGATACAAACATAGTTATTGGCATATAGAATTACAATCATTGGCCATTCATAAAATTCCTAATTTTCTTTTTTTGTTTGTGCAAGAAAGGCACACAAAACTATTTAAGTTTTTAATTTCTTGTTGTTTCTTTGCACAAGTACCAATATGGTAGCCTCTAACACAAAATAGAGATTTTATTCCAACTTCTGATTGAGATATATTATAGGAACAAGAATAATATAATCCTGTATACAAAAGCTTATTTACAGGTTGGTGTCGTCTTATTGTGTCACCATTAATCTGAGAGAATTTGTGTGTTTTCATGTTCTGGATATCCCTCAGTGTCAAAAAATAACTTTCTTTTATTCGACTCACCAGCACGTTTTTCTTTGCTAGCTTCCAAATTTGACCATTTGCTTTGGGATGTATTTTTCAAATTTGATGAATTCATATTGGTGCAGACATAAAAAAATATGTTGTCAATTGTGGGCAGATTAACGTTTTCCTCTACAGAATCAGGAAATTGGTTTCGTGACAATTCTTGTTTTTCTTTGAGGACAATAACATCTGGTCAATGTACTCTAACTCCACTTTTCAAAGTAGTGCTTTTAATTGTGATAAGTGTGTCCGCTTTCAAAATAGTTGTATCTGCAATATCAACTATATTTACTGTAACATTTTCGTTATTATTCACAACAGTTTGACATTTTTTGCTCCCGGAATTGACTCTGGTGGCATTTTTTTTTATTACTTTCATCTAGGTTTTACTGTTTTTTTGACCTTTATTGTTTAATTTTGCGTCAATTCGCTTTTGTTTTCGTTCTAGTTTTCTTTTTTCTTGTTCTCTTTTTTGTTCAATTTTACGCCTCTCTGCATGTTGACGATCTGAAGAAGTAAGCACAAAGGGCAACCTTTTTGTTTGCTTTTTGCCCTTTCATTCTGGGGTTTTTGGTCAGAAATAGAATTTGTTGATTAAGGTGTTAATTTTTTTAGATAATGGGTTATCTTGATTACCTAAAGGCTGATTATTGAATGTCAATTGAATATCTTCTGTCATTTATCTTCTGTGACATCTTTTATATTATGTGTAATATCAACGTTTTCTGAAAGTTGAACTCGAAAATCCGAAAGTAGATTTTCTTATGTAATAACAGGAATATATTGTAAGTTGGATATGACTTCATTGCCACCTATAGGGTTAAGTGTAATATTTGAAAATATATGGGTTTCTGTGATGATAGAGGTATCGTGTATATAATTTGTGATTCCACCTGTCTCTGTAGTTTGAATCGTGGGTAGATCTATGGCAGCATGAAATAAATTAAATATATTAAAGAGCAATTTTGAACCTCTATTTCTTCTTCTTCAAGTTCCACTCCTATCGGAGATTGGAAATCATTCTGGCAATTATAATTTTGTTGGTTACCCGCCTGAATATTTCAATTGAACTGCATCCAAACCATTCACGAAGATTACGTAGCCACGAGATTTTACGTCTTTCTACGCTTCTTCTGCCTTTGACTTTACCCTGCATTATATTCCTTAGTAGTTCATTTAGTAGTATTAAGTAGTATAGTATTTTTCACCTCTCATGGTATGCCCAAGTGTTCCAATTTCCTGATTTTTATGGAATTTAAAACTTCGCATTGCTTTCCTAGATGTTCTAGAACTTGTTCGTTTGTTTTGCGATCTTCATTTAGTACTTCGCAATTATAGAAACTTTGAAATTCTAATATTTTTGCGGTTCCATCCGTGTCATTCAAAATGACAAAATCTTCACATCTTATTGGTTTTGTCATATAAATAGTGTGATTAATACATTTACGTGGGTCTTTGATCTTTTCTAAACAGTTGGAATAGTCTATTGCTTTAGGGTTCCATGAATACAATCCAGATGCTTTAAAGCCATTAATTATGAAATCTGATTTTTTCTCTTTGGTAACTAATGAGTTCGGGTTTTCGCGTCTAAACTTTAATACTGCCCAGTTCCAATTTGCCTTTAATAGTTTAAATGCAGCAATATCTGCAGGTTGTATAATTATGATCGCATTGGGATATAAGGCGACTAAAATAATTTGTAACTTTAAGCATAATTCACTGATTTGAATGGTTAAGTGAGTTTTATAATAATATGTATCAACAAACAAAATGACTGGAAAATTAGTATTTTTTGCAACTAGGTACTTATATAAGACGTTTTTTATGTATTCATAGAAGTTTTCATTCTTCATCGATCCTGTATCGCTACATCCCATTCTCGTGGAACAGAATTTAAAATATTGCTATAAATTCGTTTGTAAGTTAAAATAATCATTGGTGCTGTTATTTTTCCAGATACTGCAAAGGTAAACATAACCCTCAAGTTAACTTTGGAGTGATGCTCTATTTGATATACATTTTTGCTTCCCTTTACAGCCTACACTTGTTTATTTTTGAGACACAAGAGGAGATTTCATCGCCATTTAAAACACGTGAAGGGTCTTGAAGAATATCAATGTTACCTTTACGATGCAACTATTCTTGAACACCGGTGAACCATTTTTAACCCTTTATAGGTCTGTGGTCGATATTTGGACCACTGCTCTTATTAATACTTATGAGCTAGTAATTGACATGAAAAGTTACCGAAGTGCAAATTCAGTGTTTGTAAATGAATTGTACCCAAAATGAACACCACAGAACAAAATACGGCAACGCGACAGCAATGTGGTCGATTCGCCAACCACAACCCATCATACTCTGTAAGTTACCGTTGAACGTGATCACATGTTTTTGCCGTTTGTAAAAGTTAGAAAAATAATT